AATTGATAAAATGAATTGAAATTGAAAATCGCAAACCTATTTATCTAACGCTAACGATATCTCAAGTAGTGATGAGCTAACGACAAATACGACATAAATAATACTACAGGTTATGCCCACCGTTAGGCCTAACTTCCATTTAGTCGCCTGAAAGGTGGCCAACAGTGCAAAGATAGTGACCAACAAAGAGAATGTGGTCAGAGGTAAGGCTGTGGAGTCAATGGGCACAGCAGTTGCCTCCAGACTTATGGTTCCCTTTTGAAACATCCATAAAACCGACTTTAATAGCCAGGGAACTCCCAAACAGAACAATATATCAAATATGTTGGAACCGATTGAGTTGCAAATAGCCATATCTGCCTGACTGGCCTTTTTCACCACCAGTACACTAGATATGAGCTCTGGTACTGAAGTGCCCGCTGCTAACAGTGTTAGACCACTCACAGTGTCCGGCAGTCCCAGAGTGTAGCCTACGGTATAGTTAACACAATGGGATATAAATCTAAGACTTGGGGTATTGAGAGATAATATTTATTGCTTTATTGCATACCAATTATGGTGACCATCCAAACACATATGTAAGTTAGGCTACCGATCCATATGATAGACACGATGAATGTGATGACAAAACACCATTTGGTGGGTTTGGGAAGAGTGATCTTAAAGAGCAAAGTCATGGGAAAGAGGAACCACTTGCAGAAGACATTGCTCTCAATCCAGTCGGCCTCGTCTTCAACTTCAATGTCCGCGAAAGCGATCCGTTTCTGACTTCCACTGCGACTCCGCTTTCTATACTCGAAACTAGAGCTCAAAGTATTGACACTTTGCTCCTCCATCTCTCTGGCGCTCTCCATGTCGTCGGTGTCCTGGTCTGTGGGCACACCCGACCCCCCGTTCCACTCCTCGTGCGCTTTGTCTAATGTATTCTCCGACAAAAGTGGTGTCTTCTCATCACTGTCTTCACTATCATTCAGTAGATGACTGTATTGTGCGTTGAAATACATTATCACTAAATACACGCCAAACATTGAAATCAAAATCAACGACTCGACCCTTCAATTAGATAAAATAACAATGTACATTTTTGTATAAATTCTAATGTACCGTAAATAATCAGTTACTGATTTCAGTATTAAGATATTCACGTGATTTAAGTTTTTTTTGTTAAAATGCAAAGTATTGTCATATTTTACTAGCAAATGTTAATTTTTATGAATATGTTTTTAAGTTCTTATGAACTGATAATTCAAACGGCAGAATGGGAATTATTTCCAATAAAACAGTAATCTTAATCATATCATAATACAAAGTAATTAATATAAATTATTATCAATTGTATGTCTGACTGTCTAAACCGGTGAAAGCATGTCTTACTATTTATAATCACATGTAAAACCATTTAATTACCTGTTGTAATGTTATAAAATTATTTCTAATCTAGTTAACTGAATCGCAATACATTTGGTTAATTGATAAGATCTAATATATATATTACTAACCAATCGACTCGATTATCTTTGATGCATAGGATGAGTGTAACGATAGTCAATATATAAAATATAGAGTCTCTAAGTATTGGGAAACGGCTGATGTCCGGCGTTTTGGGACAATACAGCATAACAGCGAACCCACAGGCGGCCGGTATTACAATCAAATTGAAAACAGCTGTCCCCAGAATAGTGCCGATTCCTATGTCATCTTGCGATACAAACACTCCTATAATACTTGTGAACAATTCAGGCGCTGAAGTGCCGATTGCCATGAAAGTTGCCCCAGCTATGTCTGGTGACAATGACAATTCTATGGGTGTATATGAAAGTTGATAAATAATATAAATTTCATGCAATATTTGTTCATGTATTCTTGTTGTGCTATTATTGATATACATTAGTCTTGTATTAATTAATAATTATACAAAAGTATTGAGGGGCCCTCGTTTACTATATCAGAAGTTTTATGTCAAGACATTGAATTTTATGAAACACCTGTAATTTACTAAATATTTCACTGAATCTATCTATTCTCTGTGCCTACGGTAGGTGTTTAAGTAATAATGAGTTGAAATATACATTTTTGTATAACGAATATAATAGTAAGTTTCGTATGATAATGTTTTCAACTTTTTATTTGCATTAAAAGATACTTACTTTGACTGATAATCTCAAGTGAGGGAAGAAAATATAGATCACAAACAACTCCCAAACCCAGACAACAATAACCCAGTAGAAATACGTGGAACAATATTCCGCCATTGTTTCTAAACTATTGTATATAGTAGAATTTAAAATAATTAATACAATTAATTAGTATTTTGCTAGTAGCATAAAACTATAGGTTATTAGTATACATAACATGCACTGTATAATCATAGTTTATTTTTTAAAATCTTACCCATTCAGGCATAAGATCTTGTGGAAAGTTTTCCAAAGCAAATGATATAGGATCAGTATCATTCACTGCATTGGATTCGTTGTCAAACAGACTGTCCACTGGAGTTGAAAAATTGCTGACTTTGATGAGACCACCGTTTATACCGAAAGAGTTTTTACTATAATTGGCTTCTTTTATCTGTAAAGTGCTGAAGTTATCACTTAATTGAGGTACCACTTGGACAGGTAGTATAATAGTAGTTTCTGTGCCATTCTTTTTCGAGTCATACACCGGGGGTCCACTCGTTTGGACAGTTGGTTTGGCATCGTTGACCAGCTGTACGGCTGCATACGTTATACTGAATTTTGCCACAAATACTAGTATCAGGTGTTTAAAAATTTCGACCATTTTCTAGTTAATTAAAACAAAATTATCCGGCACAAATTATTTGAATATATCAAAACATTATAATAATTTTATTATCAAAATTAATTAATTTAGTGTTTTCTTTGCTGTACAAGAATTACACACAGAATACAGCATTTGTCTCAACAAAACTTATGCATTGATTTGTGACTCGCTTTTCCATTCAAATAATATGAACTGGTAATCTTTCAGACATTTCGCAGATTAGATATTAATTCATTAAATACTGAAATGACTTCAAAATAAGTAGTGAAGTCACTTGAAGTGTTTGTCGTCAATTTCAAAGTACAATACATGTTGGCCAACATTCAGGCCACTCATGATCGCTATTTATTGATCACTTATAATTTAATTATATATCTATAGTACACGTACTACTAATTTACCCTTTCCTATTATGTTAAGATTCATTTTATTTTATTTAAAATAAGTTAATTTAATTTTCTATCAAATAACTAAATATTATCATGTTTAGTGATATTGATAATTTTAAAATTAATCTTATAATTAAATATCTAAATTGACTTATTTTAGTAATCACTTTAGAAATTGTTTTAGTAATTACCTTGGTCATTATGTTATTATCTATTGTGTTTGCATTCAATTCAATAAAAAACATCTTATTGAATTATATTGAGAATAAGATATGAATTATTAACGTAATTATTAATCAATTGATTATAAATTAAGAGATGAGTGCATTGTATGATACATGAAATATATTATATTAGAAAATACTAAATCGGAAACTAATGATTGACGCAAACAATTATTAGATTAAATTAACTAATTGTACAGTTTACATGTTACAATGTAATAAGTAATAGACACATGACTTTTNTGTTATGTATACTAATAACCTATAGTTTTATGCTACTAGCAAAATACTAATTAATTGTATTAATTATTTTAAATTCTACTATATACAATAGTTTAGAAACAATGGCGGAATATTGTTCCACGTATTTCTACTGGGTTATTGTTGTCTGGGTTTGGGAGTTGTTTGTGATCTATATTTTCTTCCCTCACTTGAGATTATCAGTCAAAGTAAGTATCTTTTAATGCAAATAAAAAGTTGAAAACATTATCATACGAAACTTACTATTATATTTGCTATACAAAAATGTATATTTCAACTCATTATTACTTAAACACCTACCGTAGGCACAGAGAATAGATAGATTCAGTGAAATATTTAGTAAATTACAGGTGTTTCATAAAATTCAATGTCTTGACATCAAACTTCTGATATAGTAAACGAGGGCCCCTCAATACTTTTGTATAATTATTAATTAATACAAGACTAATGTATATCAATAATAGCACAACAAGAATACATGAACAAATATTTCATGAAATTTATATTATTTATCAACTTTCATATACACCCATAGAATTGTCATTGTCACCAGACATAGCGGGTGCAACTTTTATGGCAATCGGCACTTCAGCGCCTGAATTGTTCACAAGTATTATAGGAGTGTTTGTATCGCAAGATGACATAGGAATCGGCACTATTCTGGGGACAGCTGTTTTCAATTTGATTGTAATACCGGCCGCCTGTGGGTTCGCTGTTATACTGTATTGTCCCAAAACGCCGGAAATCAGCCGTTTCCCCATACTTAGAGACTCTATATTTTATATATTGACTATCGTTACACTCATCCTATGCATCAAAGATAATCGAGTCGATTGGTTAGTAATATATGTTAGATCTTATCAATTAACCAAATGTATTGCGATTCAGTTAACTAGATTAGAAATAATTTTATAACATTAAAACAGGTAATTAAATGGTTTTACATGTGATTATAAATAGTAAGACATGCTTTCACCGGTTTAGACAGTCAGACATACAATTGATAATAATTTATATTAATTACTTTGTATTGTGATATGATTAAGGTTACTGTTTTATTAGAAATAATTCCCATTCTGTCGTTTGAATTATCAGTTCATAAGAACTTAAAAAAATATTCATGAAAATTAACATTTGCTAGTAAAATATGACAATACTTTGCATTTTAACAAAAAAAAACTTAAATCACGTGAATATCTTAATACTGAAATCAGTAACTGATTATTTACGGTACATTAGAATTTATACAAAAATGTACATTGTTATTTTATCTAATTGAAGGGTCGAGTCGTTGATTT